TTGTGATGCATGAGGACATGTCTTTGCTGTGTGAATTAGATCCAGTCAGCTCCACCTCATATTGCATGTCCAGAGAAATAACATTATTACACACACACTCACCCACGTGGGGCCAGCTACAGCAAAACCTATCAATATTCATTGCTAGTTAGTGTTATCATGCATATTACGCACATGCCGAGGAACATTTAAAAGCTACTAAATGTACAGAATCTCACTGCTGTCTTAAAGTTGTGTGAGTGTTGTGGTGTCAGCATGGGACTGTCTTGTGCCAGGGTAAATCACTGTATTGGTAATATTTATGTTTTTGTTAGATTTGGTGGAACCGACTTGGACAAGACTTGGTGCTCTGACTTGGACAGTTTGAGGAAATGTTGCTTGTGTAGATTTTGTTATAGGAAAAGTTCTGTGCCATCAAAAGCAGAAGTTTGACACTTGATTTAAAGCTGTTACTTGTCTTTTTCTCATTTTTGCTGGATGTGCAATGTGAACAAAACTCATCTGCTGTGTATTTATTACTTTAGGACAGATGTGGATTACGATCACTCTGTTGAGTCCAAACACATTTTCTGTTTGGTGTGTACTGGAGAATCTTTAAAGTTCTGTCACATCAGACAGAAGAAGCATCTCGGATAATATTTCAGATTTTACTGTTCCTAATTCTGTGGTGTCAGTCATCCAGGATGGTAACTGTACTTGTGGCTGCATGGTCAGAGATTTAATGTGAAAGGTCAAAAACTGTCGGGTCTTGGCCGCTGTCCTTCCTGCTACGAACAGATTTTGGTTTTAAGTCAAGTGCTTTTTACTGTTAATGCCAACCTCACGTTTTTCATTCCACTTAATGTATTATTTCAGTTTAGTACGATTTGAGCTTAAGGCTACAGTATGTAACTTAAGGTAGCACGAGAATGAAACTCCAAATCGCTCCATCCAGCTTTTCAGATATCTGTCATTATGAAATTACAAGAAATGGGACTGCGACAAAACCGACTGATTAACCAGTCAGAAAATGTTCAATTGTTTATGCTTTGAGAGGTGACTCTCGCTCTTTAGAAGCTAATGTCTCTGCACTGCTGCCAGTGCTGTTCACTGAGTCTGGGTCACAGGAGGCTTAAGACAAGTTTTAGAGCATATTTCTGTAACAAAAATATTTGAAAAAGTTACATACTGTAGCTTTAATATTGTTTTGCCTCATGTGATATCTTTGTTTTTTTACTGCTTGAATAACACTCTTTTTTTCTTATTTTTTTAAGCTTATTGTTCCTCTAATGCAAAAAGGTGAATGTAATCTGAATAAGCCATACCACAGTGTGTTTAACATGTCGTCGCTCGATGTCCTTGTGTTGCTATACCATGTCTGTCTTCTGTGTTTCATTATGAGAGGTGTTGTGTTACCTTCAGCCCTGAACGACGGCAGCACCACCAGTGATTTTAAGTAGTTTTATGTAATGATGATATTCATTTATTCCAGTAAATTATTTGATTAGATTTTGTTGATGCCTGATCACACAGGAGTTAAGTGATCATGTTGATTATGCTGAATCTCACTGTGATTAATAATAGAACTTTTCAAAACGTAGTGAAAAAGTGTAAAAAGTGAAAATTGTATTCAGTGGTCGCTCCTTTTTTTGGTCCTCTTTATTTACATATGTCAGGGGTTCAGAATATTAGGAACACCTCTGAATATAATGCAGTCCAGTACAACACCATTTTAAGCCATTACCTCAATAATGAACATAATCAGATTCATACATTTTGAACAACTTCACCAAAAACTGAAACTTTGTGAGCTTCATAAAAACATGTTATGGCAGGGATGTTGTACTGGATTGCATTCACTTGTACAGTGTACCTAATAAAGTGCTCAGTGACTGTATATTACTTCCACAACCATGGAATAAAATTAATGGAATCATTAAGACCTGGGAATGTTGTTGCTTTAAGTATTGAAATCTAAAACATTTCCCTCTGGAATCGCTCTCTGAGGCATGAACTTAATATCAATGGGTTTTTAAGAGATTTCAAAGATGAAGCTGGATTTTCAGCCCAAGTCATTTCACTGATCGTCCCCTTTATGTCTGCACCTCGAAGAGAGGCCTCTGAGGAGCTCAGAGTGGGCGCAGACATAAGGCAGCAAAGGACAGAAATACAACTTTGGGCAGGACATTGGTTGGTGTTAAAAGTATGCAGAGAAATTGTTTATCAGTTTGAACAGGTAGCCAGGCTCAGTGCAGTGTGATCATGTTTCTTACCACCAGTTCAGATCCTAGCAGCTGAGTTTTGGATGACCTGAGGCCAGAGAGCAGGGATTTAATGAAGGTTCCAGATTTTAAGAAGACAGGAATGATACAATCTTGTAAAAAAACAAACAAACATTGATTTGCAATCAACAGTGACACCAAGATTCCTGTGGTTGTTGAGATACCGAGAAGTACAATGAGAGATGTGGGTGTTTGCACATCTTGACCAGTGATCAGTATTTCAGTCTTGCCAAAATTTGCAGTAGCAGATGTTTCCTTTTGATCCTTTATTGTGTTGTAGATTTAATTTTAAATGATAAAATAGAACATTAATCTATATTCAGTAACCCACAATGACAAAGTGAAGATATGTTTTTAGACATTTTTTTGAAAATGTATTGAAAATCAGAAACTGAAATTTCCCATTCAGGACTTTGTAGAAGTCCTTGTGGCAGCAGTTACAGCTTCAGACTTCTTAGGCAAGTCTCTACAAGCTTTGCTTATCTGGATTTGTGCAATTATTCCTCTTCCTGCATGTCCTCTCAGGATCTGTCAGATCAGATGGAAAGTGTCTGTGAACATCTTCACTCTCTCCTGAGGCGCTCTCTGGGGTTTGGCTGGGCCACTCAGGGACAGTCAGGGAGTCAAAGTGAAAGCCGATATTGTGTCTATGTACAGTATGATGTGGTGGGCTGAAAAGTTACTGGACCAAGTATCAAGCCTTGTGCTGCCCCACAGTGAAGTTGACCTGGAGTCAGCAAAATATAGAAACTGTATGTCTGAGCCACTGTTATCGATTCCCACCCAGCTTTCAATGTGGTCCAAAAGGATATCATCATGATCAATGATATCAAAGGTCTAGGACAATGAGAATGAACCCAGGAGATAATTGAAGGAGACACCAATGCAACCTACAAACATTCACTAAACATCACATACTCAGATTCCTGTCAGTGTTACTTTCTTTAGTGATGTCAGATGTGCAAACACTTGAGGTGCCATGAATAATAAATCATCTGTGAAAACACATCTAATTGCCTTGCTGGAGCAGGAGAAGCAAAGGTGGCAGGAAGTGAATGATTAAACAGCCCAATTTTAACAATACTCTTATGCTCAGTCTTGCCAGTAACTTTGATTTGCAGGAACTGAGTGGGCAGCTTTGTGTGTGTTACTCATAATGTAAATGAGCTTTTCCATGTTATTTCCACCGCTGCTGGTTCTTTAACGGCTTCTTTGTAATCCCACAGAGCTGCACAGGAGAGCTCACACACGTCATCAGATCAGCTGGCCTGAGGATTAGTATTTGATTACATTTGTACAAAGTAAACTTTAGTTAGCAGTAAAGACGATATGAAAAGCATGTGCAAATTGAATGAATCCAAACATATAAAATCATCAGTAACATAACCAGTATATTAGACCTTCACCTTCACACATAGTTAGAAAATACTCTGAGGTCTTTATGCTACACTAAGAACCAAGGTGTGTAAAAATCCATATCTACAGACATTAACAAGCTTCTTTAATCCATGTGCTGAATTTTGATTAGAGAATGAGAAATGACAGAAGCAGAAGAGCAAGTAAATCAGAAAGGATTTATTTAAAATTATACTACAATAACAATGACAAAAACAATGAGATGTCAAACAAATCATTCCCTAATCTCTCCTAATGAAATAAAACACAGTAGGACTGAAAATAACCTTCAGAGGATGTGACTAGTTGAAATGATAAGCTTGACCTTAACTTCCTACTTTGGGCTTTTGGTGATGAGAGCTTTAGTTAGGTGTATAAAAAAAAAAAAAATTACACACCACCAAAACACTAAAGTAATTATGACAATATGGCCCCTCTGGCGAATGTAAAAACAGACTTCAGGGAAGTGAGAGTGGACAGATGGAGGCAGTTGAGCCCTGATGCCCAAAAAGAAAACAGACCGATGTCCAAAAACTTAGCCAGAACAACCTCTGCATCCACAGTGAGTGCATTCAATGATCCTTCCCTGCAGAGAGGGAGAAAACAGCAAGAGTTAGAACATGGGAATGTTTTCCAGATGCAACTTTCAAATTGTTTTATGTGCAGTTGCTGTTATTTTTAGCCTTGCTCACTGACAAGCTTCATGTCACACCCACAGAATGCCTCTGTCTAGGAAAAAAAAAATCTTTCTTCTCTACAGGCCTTATCAATTATATATGTTTTAGTTTTAGATGCCTAATCTTCTATTTAATATTAGTACCAGTCCATATTTTAAGAAGAGTATAAATGCCCAGTCAGCTTGTTAATATGGTCAAAGTGGCAAAGCTAATGAGAATCACTAAAGTTTTGTTAAACTTACAACTTCCAGCTTGCTCTTGGGGACTCTGCAGATGCAGTTGGTTCCGAAGTTGGTGTCTCGCGTTTGGATACAGCGCAGGCAGCACAGGTTCTCGTAGCCCTGCTTCTTCCACTTAGCTATTAGGTTTTTGTCTGCATAGCCTTCCTTAATACAGTACTCGTACAGCTCTGTCAGGACACACGTAGACAGAAATACAGCACTGGTTGGAATCTAGCACAAAGTACAACTATTAGTGGGTTTCATGTGCACATACAAAGAAACAAGCAAAAAAACAAAACAAAAAAAGTACTTTTTGCATAGGAACAAAACCAAAGAATATACTTACATTAAGGAAATTAAGTATGTTGTGTATTTGCAGAAAATCTAAAAACTTCACAAACCTTTTGACAAGTTATTACAAACTTGTGCTGTAACTTTAGTCCAAAATTTCCACAAACACTAAATATATCAAGCTGCATTACAAAAAAATATTACATGAAATACTGAGGAAAGAGGAAATGGGAAACATTCAATGTCAAACAGTTCAGCAACGGAGAGAGGTCACCCAGCCTACCTCTACTTATGGCTTTCCTTTTGTAGAAGAGGTCATAGATGTATCGACTCCGCTGATGATGTAGCCTGAAAATGGGCCAAAGGGACTCCACCTTTCGCTTCCCCTCATGAGGCTCTGTTTCAGCTGGAACACACATGACAAATTAGAAATGTTAGTTGTGGAAAACAAAGTTAATGGTACAACTGCTGGGGTAGATCACACCTTACTGGGCTGAGGGCAAAACCAATGAATAGATATTTTAAATGAAGCCTGGAGACTAGGAAATGTTAACTCACTTGCTGCTTACATTTGGGGAAAGTGGGAAGCAAGGTGTGGATTTGCAGCATCAAGCAAACATGTTAATGTCACATCTGATGCTGAAACAGGCTCCACTGCTATGCAGTGCGTTACTCCTGTGTTTAGGGACGTGTCATATGTTAATACAAAGATGGAAGCCCACTACTGTAACTATGTAGTAACATTCTCCTTAATTAACTTAGAACTAACGTTAGGAAGTAGAGCCAAAACCAGTAGTGTGTGGGAGCACTATCTCAAATAGCTTAACTGAAATTATTTCAGCAGCAGCACGCTATGGTTGTGAGGACCAGTCATCGGGATCATCCTATTCTTCCGGCTTACCTTCTCTCATTTTCTGATCCAGCTCGTCCAAAGTGGGCTCAATGAGTTCCCATCCATCAGGGGGTGGCTTCCGACTCCTCTTTACCTTAGGCATTTTGCTGTTTTGTTAAAAAAAATGCAACAAAAGCTCCCGATGTTGTTGTTTAGGGTTTGCGGAAACAGCCTCTGGCGCTACAATTTGACGTCACCGGGAGCCCATTTCGCCGTCTGAGCTCTCGAATGACGTCATTACTGCGCATAAACAAATTTATGTGGATTTAATAACTTTTAAAATCTTCTCTTAGGCTATTACACAATATGCGGTTATTTAAACATTTATTTAAGCCAGTATGAAGATGTTAACTGAGGTAAAAATTTAAGCAGATGTCTTTCTGTAGTTCCTCGCATATTGCATCACTTTAGCGGACTAGAAAATTGCCATAAAATAAACAACCTGATTTTGTTTTTTTGGTATTTAATAACTCGAGCCATTTAGACAAGCATTGTGCATTATATTGAGATATATATTTTAGTTTAGCAGAAACATGTTTACTAAATGCTTTTAAAAATTCCGTCTTTTGGAGCTTTGTTAACAGGCAATTTTTAAACTACTAAAACTATTGTAACTATTGTAGTATTCGTCGCTAATGTGAGTTTAGCTAGTTGTCAGTTTGTGCTGTCGGCTTAACGTTTATGTTTTCTGTTAGTATTCACTTGTTAGGGAGTTTATAATAAAGGCTTCGTTTGTCAAAATGCCCAAAGGAGGTAAGAATGATCATAAAACCTGTATGCTGAAATCAGTTTTTGTACATCTGTTAGCCGCTGTTAGCCAACGCCGTGATGTAAAAGTGGCTCACGGTATAACTTAACTGTGATATGTCATTGTAGGTTTTTGGTATACTCCTGTACGTAAGAAATGTCTCCACTATCATAAACCACTCCTCTTCTGCTTATGCCTATTCACAATGACATAATGTGGCTGCTGGTTATGGTAGTAAAAGAGATAATAACATACTGTTTTTACGTGGCACACAGCAGCGACACACGTATGCAAGTAAAGAATGGACAAAAGCTGGTAGGACGTGGTATATGGCAGTGGAATTTAAGTGACAAGCCGGTAAAACAGCAATGATACACCAATGACATAGCTGTGTATTAGATGGTGTTAAAAACATTAAATAAGCACTGACAGCATGCTGATAACACACTCCGTTTATTTTGGCTGATGGCTGATTTTCATGCCTGCTGTACAACGTATGTACAACGTACAAGTCAAACTGTGTGATGTCATTGTTACAGGTAAGAAGGGTGGCCACAAGGGTCGCATGCGGACGTACACGAGCCCCGAAGAGATAGACGCCCAGATGAAGGCTGAGAAGGAGAGGAAAAAGGTTGGTGGGGTGTTTATCCAAAGACTGCTCAAACGTGTGTGCAGGTTTTCAAAAACGTACTGGTCAAGCTCTAGAAATGCGGGATCCTACTCTTCTCATTATACAACTCAGTGGCATCTTTTCACTGGAAAGAGTAAAGTGATGTTGAAGACCCAAATAACTACAACTGCTGTTGACAGCCATTACCTTCAGCTCGTCAACAGTCTTAAAAAGCATTGGTTTAAGTTCCCTCAATAAAGGCCTTGGTCTTGGATGTTCTGTCAGAAGACATTTGCTAGGAAGCTCATCTCATTTTAGCAAAAACCTTAACTAACCATTAATTATGTTTTAAGGTTAATCCATCCCTAGTTTTTTATCACTTATCTGGGTTCAGGCATGGATGGATCAGATCATAAAAGACCCCACAACCCTCCTGTGTACTGTAGAACCACCAGACTGAAAGAGACACAGAACCTGTAGTTGTTTCGAGTCTGTCTGTTGTTGCTTTGCATATGTTTGCAGTCATTCTGTGTGTTCACTTTGCTTGTTTAGTAGTTTATTTAGGATGGACAATACACAATGATAAGAATTACTGTAAATATTCCAGAATTAGCCTGAATGTATTAGTAAAAACAAGATAACATAATATTTAAGATCGGGCATTTAAAAAATTAGGAAATAGATTCATGTTACTAAGGTCATTATACATAATAATATTACATGACAGTTTGCATCTCTTTGTGGTCATTTTGTGTCTGTTTGCATCTGCTTATGGTCAGTTTGTGCCTGTCTACATGTTGGTGGTCATTGTGCATCTGTTTGGGATGTGTTTTTCTTATCTTTGTCATCTTTTATTTTTGACTTTAAACAATGAAATATTAACACTTCACCATCACTTCATACAAAGGCTCCTGGGCCCGTGCCCCATAGACCTGGCCAGTCATCCAGTTTCAATAAAATTTTATTTGCATAGTACCAAATCACAACATGAATCATCTCAAGGCACTTTACATAGTAAGGTCTGGTCCTCACATTATTAAAATGAAAAACCCAAGAGAGGAAAAGGCAGGAATTATTGTTGCAAACATGTAAAACCATGTACTTGTGCTTGTGTTTGAGGTGATTCCTTAGTCTGATAATGTTCTCCTGTGTGTTTTTTCTGCCTGGTATGTGCCATTTACTCTGTATTACAGCAAGAGCAAGAGCAGGAAGAGCTGGAGGAGGGGGGTGCTGCTCAGAATGAAACAGCAGAGCTGAAGCTACCAGCATCGGGATCAGATGACAGTGATGATGAAAATTCCCAGGTACAGCAATACTTCCCTTGTTCCTACACACCAGTGGGGCTTCACCATAATTGTCTGTAATAATATGGCACTTATTGCTTGTTAGGTATTTTTATGTACATCTGTACATAATTGTATTAAAATTTAATGCTTTGTCCGTCCATCCATCTATCCATTTTCCTCCGCTTATCTGGGACCGGGTCACTGGGGCAGCAGTCTAAGCAAAGATGCCGCCTCCCCTCCCCCCAGACCCTCCCCCCAGCCCCTCGGGGGGAACGCCGAGGCGTTCCCAGGCCAGCCGAGAGGCATAGTCCCTCCAGCGTGTCCTGGGTCTTACCCGGGGCCTCCTCCCGGTGGGACATGCCCGGAACACGTCCCCAGGAAGGCCCCCAGGAGGCATCCACAACAGATGCCTGAGCCACCTCAGCTGGCTCCTCTCGATGTGGAGGAGCAGCGGTTCTACTCTGAGCTCCTCC